ACACATTCACGTTAACGAAATTGGAAGAAGGTTAATCATGCAATAAAATGTAAATAAGGGATGAAATTAAAAAGAGATAGCAGTGTGCTGATACCATGAAACAATGTGCAGTGCATGCATCCGGAATATTCATTTTTATTGAGCTCTTTTTGCATTGGGTGCTTTTCTTCTGTCTCCTTTCCATGCAGAAGATGCGCTTATCAGGCTACAATCCACAGTAGGTACAGTAGTTACAGACAAGCCGGTTTTCCCAGGGCCTTGAACTCTTAACGGTTGGTCAACTGATTGATGCAGTACTGTACTTTGAGACAGGGAGCTGGGTGATTAGTAAGTTACCATCTGGAGCCTGTAAATGTCCAGAGGATAAGATAAAGAATAGTATACCATTGCTGTAGTGCAAGATCATATACATAGCCTGACTTTTTCTTGCTGCCAGCCACTCCAAGAACACATCTCCAAACCTTGTTATATAGTGCAATTGATTTTTGACTAAAATTTTACTGTGAAGATCAATTGTAAATTCTTTGTGGACGTCCATCAAAAAATTACTCGAAATTTATACCTACTGGAAAAAATAGCAGTGATACTTTTTCAAGTTCTGGATGGAAATTCAACTAACTGCAATTTTTCAAAATCGCTTATTACATGATTAATCACTGTGAAAATAACCCAATCGCCTGTTCTTTCATGTTTTTAAAATTAAATACTTTGACAAGTTGAGAAGTTCAGAACTTCAAGTTTTCCCAACTTTTTAAATTTTCTTATAATATGCTCAAAATTTTAGGATACATACAGAATCTATACACAGTAACTTTCAAGTCAACAACCTGAAACAAGATACTGTACAATGATGACAGGAAATCAAGGAAGGAACAAACTGGGGCAAGGTGGAGGACAACAAGATAAGGTTGAGAGGAAGTTATCATTGTTCCCTAAGAACCTAGGTACAATGCTGCTGCCATCAGGTGAAACTACAGTATAAGGAATGCAGTCAATTGGTTTGAATCATTTGCATCATCAGGAGCTCAGCATGAATAACTTCACGTTGCTTAAGTCTTTATATAATGCACATGGTCTTGAGGTGTCCATATTAAAAAAAAAAATCACTGTACTTGACAACTTTTCAATGTGGAGTTGCTGGATATTCAACGTAACAAACTGTTTTCCAGTAATGCATCAGTACAATAGTTACTTTGTGCATATAGAGAAAAAATACCTACCCATAAGGGAAGGCTTGCAGGATTTTTGCAGAGAATTTAGGATGTAGGAGTTTCCATAACCTTGCATCCCTAAATATATTTGAAGTCAGCTCCTGAACTCAGTTTCCACATTATATGATTGACCATATGCCCTGGCATGGTGGGAGCACCTGCAATCATTGACTGTTGGTAAAATGCCTATGGAACCTCATGTTCATGAGAATTCACATCTTTTCTTCCCTCTGATTCCACCAGAATGTTGTTGCATAGGGCAACATTCCATCCAGCTTCACAGCAGGAGAGGGAAAATTCCTGGAATGCAAGACTGATGCATCACCCTCCAAAAGTAATAAACTCAATCCATCATGGTATTCACAATCCATTCATTTCCTGCATCATTCCAAGCACCACCTCTTCTCTCCCCCTCAACCCTGGGCGGAAACACATCCAGCATCTGGCAGCAAATAGAAGTCAATGCGATTCCAGCCCAGCCACGCAAAATATAAAGCACCCACCCCCCTCCCACCGTTTCTCCCTCTTTTGCCTCACACAAACCCGCAGATGAGACTTCTTAAAAACGAGACCCTGTTCTCAGGCTAGCAGAGTATACTTCAATTTATAGTACAGTACAGTACCCTGGTCTGGTTCGGGCTCTGCAGAGGACAGTTGGTACCTGCACACAAGTAGACTCATCCAGCAACATTTCGAAAATTCTTATTTTCGAAAAGTAAATTCATTTCAGTTGTGTGGCATACCAAATTCCCTTGGTGAAAATCCATGCATTTTAGAAGAATTTGTGTTTAAACTTTTGGAATAACTGTCAGAAGGCAAGGCACACACTCTAAAACAGAAAATAAAACATTTTGCCCTCTCTCTCCTCAATTTTTTTGATCATAGAAACGTGAGAGCTTCACACTCTAAACTTTGGCAAATACATAGCAGTATAGGCTGTATCTGCAAAAAATTCATGCCCTGAGCAACTTGATGTTTTAAGGGTGGGGGTGCACAACAGCCATTTGCCAGAATGGGTTGATACATTTCTAAAATGCACTGCACCCCAGTATGCAGAATTTAAAAAAGTGAAAAAGGGACAATGTAGTGTACATCAAAGTCAACACATTATTTATACCGTGTTATACTTCAGAAGGATCTCTTTGAGGAATTTGTGAAGAGTTCAGCAATTCAATTCAGCCTCATATTAATCAAGCAGACATAGATGGGTACTTATTGGATTTTGCAGAATAATGAAAGTTAGATTGCTGAGTCATCAGCTACTGCATATCTGTACACCAAAATTCGGTTAATCCTTTTCCTCAAACTTTCCCATGGAAGAGACCATTTTTAAACTTTTCAATGGAAACAGATGAAATTCAATTAATGAGAGCCAGTTCAGCACCTTCAATAACTGAATAAAAAACAGAAAACACCCCTGTGAAGACCACCACCCAGTTATCCCATTGTAAACTTGCCAACGTTGAACGACGCAGTTCATTAACCAAGAAACCAGCAGTTACGTCTTCAACAGCCTGGCAGACAGAGAATGCGGTCTAGTATCAGCGTCTCACTAAGACCGAGGATACTGAGAAGAGAGTACCACCCTTTCGTTCCGCCGGCGGGAAAGGGGGGAGTGGGAGAGACCGAGCCCTTCCCCCATGGAGCCGAGAATAGCGCTGAAGGGGCTGCGCGAAGGTCGAGTAATTGGAGGAAAAGCCCCCTCCCCTTAACCCCCCAACGGACCGTATCGCCCCAAAAAACCGCCGAGTGCAATTACCGTTGAAAATAAGGAGCCCGGAAATAAATACGGGGCTAAGGGGGGGCCTGGTTCGCGTCATGCAAAAACCCCCACCACCACCATCACCCGCTTTTTCGGCACCACCCTGAGTAGGGGAAGGCGGGTGAAAAACGGACCCACCCTCCTCTTCCTCCGCAAATTTTTCCCGGGATCTCGTGTGTCCCGCGAACTACAACCTGTTCCACGCTGGTGCAGTCAAAGCCGGTAGAGAAGCGCATGTTGCATACGCTTCCACACATGCATGCAGGAATTTTTCGATTCAAGTCGTGTCTTGTATAGTCCTGTATAATACAACCCGTGAGTGCATCCAGTCGTAGGGACATGTGAAGAGAATTGCAGCTGCAGGGGGGGGGGGGGGGCAGAGGAGAAATCCCGTGGGAAATACTGTCAACTCTCCTTGGCGTGTTGCGCTAGAAACAGCTTGCACCCAGGGCTTACGCCAGGCATGGGTGGTGACTCCGTAAAGAAAACTTATTTCACTGGCTGATGTACTGTCAGACATTTCTGCGGTATAGGCCTTTCAACTACCCACATGCAGACCACTCAGCAGTGCCTGGGGCACTTGCTATGCCGAGGCAAATGTGCAGAATTTCCAGAGAAGAACTATGAAGAAAAATATGTGGAATGCATGATCCTTCTCTAACAACCAAGGTTGTATGTAACTGAGGGAAAGTTTTACGAGAGCATTTGTGAAGTGTGACACAGAGAGGTAAAATAAGAAGTACTGTCTTTGACGAATTCTAAGTTTTTTGCATTGGTATACCTAGTTATAAGAATAGACTTGCAATTGTTTATACTCCGCCAATTGGTACACCCAAGACACTGGCCTACCTTCAAGCATAGTATTGATGAAAACTTCATTAAAATTATGCCTCATTCAAAGTAACAATGGTTGATGAGACACCAGCTAAATGCGATTCCACGCTTGCATCATTCCACAAATGACCCAACCTTATACAATACTGTCAAAATTTAAAGTGGATTACTTTACACACTTCATAAAACCAATGAAAATGGAAAAGGCCCTCATTAAATGTATGTGTTGTACATTTCCTCTTTCCTAACAATCAAGTTGTGGTCCCAGCTTGAACCGCCCATGTAATTTCCATTGCTGTCGCAGCAAATGCGCCAGGGTGAATGGTAACGCTACAGGACGGGTCGGCTATACCTGTATCTCCAGCAAGGGGAGTGGGGGGTGAGAATAAATTTCTCTCAGCCCCTGCACACCGTGAAGCAAGCAAGGGAGGGAGACAGACGCAGGTCGAAACGTCCAACAGTCCACAGAAAGAGAGAGAAGGAGGGTGAATTAAGAGAACCGCGCCGCGTCGGCGGGCGAGCCAGAAACGAACAAGGAAAGAAGAATTACGAGCAGCCGCGAGCAAAATGAAAAAGAGAAAGAAAGAGAGAAACGGACAGCCCTCGACGCAGCGAGAGTTCCGAAATGGGAACCGAGAGAGAGAGAGAGCGCGCGCGGGAAACAGGACAAAAGAAAAGAAGCAAGTGAGAGAGAGTGAGACAGAAAGAATCGAGCGCGCGGGGATTATAGATAGATGGATGGGGAGGGGAAGGGATGGCGGTCGACAGACAGGCAAAGCGAGATCCCTGATATGCAGGAAAGAGAGCGGAAAAAAGAGAAGACAGATACATCGACCCGACGACGGACAGCGCACCGCGCGCGCTCATACATCTCCCTGCGGCGGCAGCAGCAGCCATGAGAGGAACGAAGAAAACGCAACCGGGTGCAATAAAACAACTTCCATCATCTCAGACATTCACTGGAGAAAAGAAAAAACTCGCGCCAAGAAGCAATCATCTCAAGGACGCCATTCATTCCTTTTTTCCTCTTTCTCTCGCTCTTCAACAACAAACATCAGTTCAATCATATCACGGTAGTAGTAGCAGCGTAGTGGTAGGAGGAGAAATAAAAAGGGGAAGACATGTTGTTCTTGTATGTGTGTGGCGGCGGGAACATGTTCGCATCAAAGTTTTCTTTATCCCCGCCGAGTGCTTCACCACACTGAGCATCGATGCACGGGGTTCATCTTGGCACCGGCTTTGCAGTTGAAGTCGCGGGCGAAGTCTGGCATGTTGGACACGGGGCCGTTGACGCGGAACTGTGCCGGGGAATGGCGGGCCGTGAGTACGCGCATCTTCAGCGCCTCCTTGCGGTACGCCCCGCACCAGGTGTTGCCCGCCGCGATCCAGAACATCTGCTTCGAGTTGTACTCCTGTAATTACACCGCCGCGCACACCCCAAGAGGGCAGAGGAACAAAAAAAAACACGAATGAAACAACGAAATGGAGGTTAAGAGCGCATAGACTTGGCAAAAAATGGATTTGTTCCGAGTGAGGAAAAACACAGGCAAATGTTCAGCCGGATCGAGTACTGTATACTGTACTGTACTTCCATTGCCTGCATGCTGGGGTGGACTGTCTGCTGGGGACCAGAACGTCATTCACGCCCAACCCCAGTGTCAAGAGGAAGGGTGAAAAAGCTCACCACAGAATGACGCCATTATTACCCTTTGTTTTACTGGCAATAATGATAATTTCTGTACCGTGTACAGATTAGGTCATCCCACTCAAACAAAGCAGATGAAACTAGGCGATGGATATGAAGATTGCGAATTTCTGGTACCAAAAGAAATGCAACTTCTTAAGCTTCAGAAGAACACTAACATTTTTTTTATGTATAACAGTGGACTCCCTCTACAACAAAATGGAAAGGACCAGGGAAAAGATGGTTGTAGAGAGAATTTTGTTTTAGAGAACCCCTGCACTGTAATAAGGGAAGAGAACCCAATGGGACTAACAGATATATTGCTATACAGAGAATATTGCTCCATTGTAGAGAGAGACCACCTGTGTTATGCTGTCTACTGCAGACCATTCAAAAGTAAAGCTTGGCTTTCATGATACATTTGCTATTTGTAGTGCCAAGAGGAAGGGTGAAAAGCACCCAGATTAACAAAACAGATGATCAATGGATCCTTTTCTGAATATTATTGTCATTTCAGGAACAGATGTGAATATTAAACCCCAGCAAAAGGACCGAAATGACAAATGAGACAACAAAATAGTGGTGAAGAGGGCAGACTTATTAGTATAGTACTTGTGCTATACTGGAAAAACAACCATTGTTTAGCTGGATACAATGCTTCTCTCTAGATATTCAGATATTGTACAGCATAGTTATAGCAACAGAAGGGGACAGAGACACATAAATAGTAACAAAACCACACAAAAGAGGTCAAGAGTGCAGACTGGGCAAAAAATGAAATTGCTTCGAGCTAAGTCTACTCAAATGTTCGCATGGAGTATATCTTACAGTGTACTTTCCCCCAGCCTGGGGTGGACTGTCTGCTGTGGACCAGCACCCAATTTACACACAAAGCCTTTCCTTGTCAATACAGCATATTCTGTGAGCAGTGTCAAGAGGAAAGAGGAAAAGTATCCGCATGGAATGCGGCGTAATACAAAAAGTGAGTAGCAGGGCATAGATTTAATTATCACTCTTTGAAGAGAGAGAAATAGACGATGAAAATTATAAGCACAATCATGGCAAAACAATTTTGGGCTATGAAAAATATATGTACTTGAATGTTTGCTCAGAATATTTCCATTGTCCAGGTTGGGATATCTTCTGTCGTGGGCCAGCATCTCGCTTAGACACAAAGCATTTCCTCTTCAATGGGTATTATTTACAATGTTAGGAAGACTGTATTCTGATATAGCAAATACCGTAGTTGTAGTTGGAAGCATCAATCCATACAAAATTAATACTGTGTAAGTGTATATAATCAACTGATTTATGGTACAGTACTACAATCTATAGTTTTCTGCTTTCATGGATCATTTCCTGACTATTTCTTCAGAAGTTCTTCACAATAATGGGTTGAATACCTTTTTTCAAGGTCCCACTGATCATCCCTTATTCTTGTAGGATTTATTTTTACAGTACATGATGGAGTACAGGTGAGTTTCCAATTGAAATATGACATCAAGGTTTTACCTTGTGTCATATCCAATGGAACATGAACCATTTGATGTGCTGCATATGGAATTGCCAAGTTGAACAATTTACATGGATAGTACAGTACATTTACTTCTCCACTTCACTAGCTTGTCCTCAAGCCTTTTACTAATCACATGTGTACATGTGCTTTTGGTGCAGTTAACTGAAATATTGTAATTATCGGAGTGTCAGCTAACCAACCAGGAAGCAACTAAGGGATAGATATACATTATCAAACCAGTCACCAACAATTGCTTCAATAGGAAAAGTTTTAAAACTCTTTTTGGACTTTGCCATTTGTTTCTCAAGTATGCGTGGATTGTGTAACTTTGAAAGGAGACTATAAAAAAATTCCCAGAACTTTCCTCTTCATTGCTTATTTTTTATCGAGTTCATCTTCTCATTCCTCTTCATTTGTTTAAATTTGTATAGTGTAATCAGGACACCTTAAAATCTATTCAACTCTATATCACCATTGAAATTCCATATTTCAAGAACGTTATACAGTATTAACAAAACTAGTGAACTGCAGAGATATAGTTGACAAAATTAAATGCGATTTTCATATTCTCACAGAATAGAAACAACTCTCTTCAGCATATTCTTTAATTATGCCAGGATTTCAGAACAAGAAACGGAAGCATCAGGTCTTGAACCACAGATGCATGAACATCTCCTGGAATTATATTTTCTGCAAGCGTCTGTTTATTCCAAATTACTATTTCATCAGGCTGAAAAATCCATCAAGATCATTTGAAAAGTCACGAAAAGTGAGGATATTTTCATTTAAAATTCGTATCTGCAATGACAAAAATCTACCATAAGTTTTACGTGCGATGGATTACTCTCCGCAATGAAGATACAGGACAAACTAAAAAGCTTTTTGTTCCCTCATTATGTATTCGTTCATGTCCCAAGCACATTTCGTTTTTAATTTCCCAATCTTCAACAATTTCACGATGAAACGCAGTACATAACCTCTAGCTTAATATCATCGTAGGAGATCCTGGATCGCGGAGGTTTGGTCACCCTCCGCTCCGCAGACAAAAGTAACTCACCCAAGGAAAAGTTACTCACATTCAGGGTGCGAAAGAAAAGGTTCCGAGGAAGAAGGAGGAAGAAGAGGCACACGGAGGTTGGGAGCGAATGGAAGTGAACAAGAGATGATGACTGGGAGGGAGGGGGGGGGGGACCACACCAGGGATGAGAGAGAGAGCCAACACACACACACACACCCACAGGGAGAATGAGGACACACACAGAGGCAAAGAAAAACGTACGGGATGTGGGACAGAGACGGGCATGAGAAAGGAAACGCCGAGAGGGAAGAGAGAGGGAGAGACAGACACACACACACACACAAAAGGGAGGGAGGAAACTGACCTGCAGGCCGGGCAAGCGGGGCTCCACTCCTAGGCGCTGTTCGAGCCGGTTGAACGCCCTGTAGGCCTGCTTGAGGCCGCCGTTGTCCGCGATGTTCTCTCCTTGCGTGTTGATTCCGTTCACCTGAAGCGAGCCACCCCACCCCACCCCAAGAGCAGCAGCAGCAGCGCACCATCCGGGCGGAAATGAAAGGAAAAACTCAAGCAACCAAAAGCAGCCACAGGCCTATCTTTTTTTCCACGTTCAACTGAGTGTCAGTTGCTAAAAAAAATCAGGGCTTGTCAACCTATTTTTGGATGGTACACCACCTTACAAGACATGAGACCATGTATGCGCTCCATCCCTTGGGTACGACCAGTATCACAAGTGTAGCTTCAGCTCAAATGCACAATATGATAAGTAAGCCTACGGTCTCTTTTAATTTCTTAAACATTGCGTTTTTCTTCTTCATCTTTCCCAGAAAAATCTTCAGTCTCCTCAATCCGGTTAATTTTTACCACTGTTGAAAAAGTCTCCCTTATCTGCATTACTGAGCCACAATAAGAAGACAAATATTTTCAGACTTGCAGCAAATTAGGATGGAGTTCCATTTTTTTCTGTCTCCCGCTGAGACAAAAATAGCCAAACTGTGGAGTTCAAGGAATAACTTGAGCTGAGCACCATTTGTGTAGAGGCCCTCCACAGGTGGTACATTCAGAATAAGGAAATTGATCAACAGTGGCACACGTCCAAAACTCTATGATAACCACACCAAAAAAAAGATTGAAAAGCCCTGCTCTAAATTTATCTTCTTCCTTATACTGTATTCCCAGGCATCCTCCCAGAGCAGCACTGAAAAAGTATCTCTCTTTTTTAAACTCACTATATAGTGCGTGAGATGCGAGCAGCGCAGGCTGTTGTCAGTCAATCAAAAGCATGCAAGCCTTCACCATGCAAGCAGGAACACATAAACCCCTCACCGTAGCGCTGTAAAGGGAAATAAAGGATCCCCTCTCCCTTTTCCACTTTTTCCTTTCGGGGCGCCAGCCTTGGAGATCCGACTTACTCCCGAGTTGCCCCGGTTTTATTGCCCAACCGTTTTTTGGTGATTTCAGGATCATTGGGTCTATTTTAAAGTTCTCACAGGAGAAGAATTTCACTTCAAAACTGGTGAAATACTTCACATACGTTTGGTTTTACCCTGCAATGGCACACCAGTAATTTGAGGAAAGCCTGTATAATTGATCAGATGGCATAGACACTTCACTTAGATGCACTGTACACGGTACAGTATTTCCAATAATGCAAGAGCATACATAACCATTTGTATTTGATACTGTATGTGTGCACCATTCTTTCTATAATGTAACCTGTCTTTTCTTACCCTGTGCTCCTTATGCAAATGTCATGACCCATGTCTAAAACTTTTATTACACTCCCCAATACTTTTTCAGAGAAGTTAAGAATGTGTATTCAGCGACATTTTTTTTTGAGAAACTACATTTTATTTTGCAGCCAAGTCTCCCAGTGCATGCACAATAAGCGCTAAGACAAACCGTATAATCATTAATCAGGAAAATTTCAATTTTTGTCCAGCAAAAACTGGATAACAGAGCTTACAAGGATACATGGTTTTGTGCACAAAAACAAGAATCAAGGTGTGTGTCTCTTACTTCAAGGGGGCACGCATTGAGGATCATGTTTTTTCAAAAACATCTCTTAGACTTAGATCCACCAGGCTTTTACAAATAAAAAAGTGAGTGTTTAACCTACATACAGTTGAACCTTGATAAGTCAAACCTCCCTAAGTTGAATTTTTTTCAAGTCCCTGTCTGGATTTCCTTAGAAACAATACATTGAAAACCTCCCAAACTCAGTCTTTTTCTCTCAAACTGCTGTAAGTCAAATTTTCTGAGGCCTTCTAGTTTTTCTTTCCTTGAATTAAGAAAGAGAAAAATAATAAAACAAATTATTTCATGCCTCTTGAAATGAAGAGAGAGACTAATTGAACAAATGTACCCCTGCCTTGGTCCAACTTCAGAAAGCTGCAAACTCATCAAGAAGCAATGTTAAGCCCAGAATATCCTTATCAACAATGTCTCACAGTTTTTTACTTTTCCTTGCAGCAAAAATGTTTGTCTCCTTAACTCAAAACCTTGCTAAGAAAAATTTTTTTCCTGGTCCCTAGAAATTTAACTTTTAGAGGTTCAACTGTATGTCATTAACTTTTTACTTACTTATGATGCACCACCAATTTTTCATATTTCAGGGGTAATATGACATCTACACATACATTTGAACTGTTTTGCACGTGGTCTAAAACACTCAACAGATGATGCCTCTGCTGAACCAATATATTGCATACAAAATCAGTGAAAAATTGCCAGAACTTATCCAAAAAACTTTCTATCACAGATCCAGTGAAGGAGAGGAGGGTTCCAATAAGCTCCACAACATTTTTATGACTGGGGAAAATATTTTAAGCCGGTGTCATAAAAAGCCCCAAAGGGATGGAACAAACATTCTTCCATCTATTTTATCTCCAGGCAACAAGTCCCGAGCCTTTAATCCTCCCACGTTTTGTTACTCAACCTTATAATCCCAGTTTCATGACGTTCCTTAAAAGCCCTCCCAGCTTTCAACGGTTCACGTCTGGGGCAAGATTTGAAAGAAGTCAAGCAAAAATTACTCAATTTTTAATGGATGCTTTCTCAGAGGCTACCATTTTCGGGATGTCTCACCTTCGCTCTTAGCAAGAGTGAAAATCTGCCTGTTTAATAAGACAAATACGTAATAACTGAAATTGGAGTCCAATAGTGTATATACACTGCTGATCAGTAATGAATGTGCATGAATCAATAATAAGATCATGGGAAGTCTAATTTGATTATAAAATGCTGTAAGATTGATGAATGAGTGGATTTCATGATCAAATATGGAACAGTAGAACTTCATCAAGAATTGATTCAATAAAAAATGTCAGAATCTCACAGGCTTCAATTTACAAATTTGTGCACGCAATATGCTTATATGAGAAAAGTACTGTACATACATTTTGAGACCATATTAGTTTGACAAAGAAAAACCTCAAATTTAAATTTATAATTATCAGGGAGGGGAATTAAAAGAACAAATAAGAGAACTCCAAAATTTGTTTAAATACTGCTGAAAAAAGTAAAAGAACACACCTTCTCAAGTGGAGTTATTTCTGTTGGTACAGCAATTCAAATAATCTGGTCAAGAAATTGTTCAAAAACTTTCAGAATCATGTCAAATTAAAGCATGAAAAACAGTTGCAGACAACCTGCTGTCAATTTGGTAATACTGTGTATACAAGTTTCTGTATTGTTAGTGTTCTGACATGAATATTACTTTTTGTAGGATCATTAATTGTGTCTAACAATTCTTAGCTTAGGAAAATAATATTTTTTTTCTCCAAGCTGGAAACACATTATCTTAGACTATGAACCATTCTGACTTGATCTTAGGTACCACAACCAACTTATAACTGCAATTATCAAACGAAGGGTAAATACAGTACAGTATACTACATAAATTTCAAAATCCCACAGGCACACCGTACCCGTCATTTTTGTGAACACCTTTTATACACTGTCATTTCTTCGTTCAGAGAAAAAAAAAATCACAACAATTTCCCCTTCCTGCCTACAAATCTTTTTCTACCACATTTCTGATTCATCCTCCCCATATCAACCAAGCTAAACAGCCTTCCAAAATGAAGCCCTATCCACAACACACAGAGCCCTCAAAATTGGCGGGGAATAAGCGATTCTCAGAAGTCTGGAAAGAAAAACCAGCCAGTTATTAGCAGCCATTCGTGTTTCCGTTGCGTCCAGTTAATTACCACAAAAAACACCAGACCCTGACCAAAAAAAAAGGGGGAGGGGGGAGTGAGAGGAACCACGATACACCAGGGGAGGTTCCTTTGGGTCAAACGTCTCCCACGGTCTAAAAAAAAAAAAAAAAAAAAAAAAACACGCACACAACAGAAGGGAAAAATAAATATCGGGTAATGCGAAACAAAAGATCATCGTCGCGTCACGCAGCAGCGATTTTCAAGTTCACTGGGGGAAGCTTCTTGTTCCTTTTTCCCAGCAGCAGCGGCAGCTATAGCAGCAAAAGGCAAGGGCAACGACTTCACGCGACTAGACGATTTCCATCGCATTAAAAATAGAAAGTCATCATCATCCCCGTTATAAAAAATTATGTAACTCAGGTACGATATCATGTACAGCATCACCGCATATACAGTATATTTACGCGATCATAGGCCGTACTTTCGCAGAAAAGTGTGCTCCATAACGGTTAATTAGGTGCGTCCGCGGCCATATACTGTATAGGTTATTAAAATTATTTATTAACTATGCCGCCTCATTACTGCTGTCTAGATCGAATGTGGCCAATCTACGAACAAAAATTTATCATATGCATGGACTTGAAAAATTGAACGAAGAATTTGAACGTCAAAAAATCAAGGGTGTGAATCACTCATCGAAGTCATCCCACTAAGCAATATCGTAAGATCAGTTCTGAGAATATTTTTTATAAAGCGAAAAAACCGTGCAGATATTCCTCATTCGAGCCATCGAAAGTTTCCAATTTTGCCTGTAAGTGGAGAGTTTTATACCAGAAATAGCAGCACAAAAGACGAGAGTGGCCCATGATCGCGTACAAAAACGGGAATTTCCCCGTCCCCCTCGTAATGAAACACGCTCGTTTCTCTGCTCTCATGTGAAGATTCACAAGCATTGCCGAACCACGGAGGAAAGCGTTACAAAGCGCGAAAAAGATGTGACTGAAAGAAAGAAACTAAGGGAACAATATTCACGATGATTTGCAACTAAGACAGAAACAAACCCCTTTCTTGCTATTCGTTTCAATTGAGGCAGTGGAATTTCGATGTAAACTAAAGCGCACTGCGAAATCCACAGCATCTAATTCCGAGCAGGGTAGAAAAAGGAGAACAACTTGACCTTTAGCGACACCTAGTAAAGGGGATGCTAATATTAAATCGCAGGACTAGTCCTTCGCTCTTGAGGTCGCTAATGAAGTGACCAAATGAAAATGTGAAGAAGGGATATACAAAGCACTGCCAACTTCATGTAAACAATACTGTACATACAGTTTTGTACTCCCAGACTTTTCCTCAAGTAAAAGAAAGCCCTATATATATGTACCCGTGGTATGATTTCAATCTCTTGAGAAGTAAAAAATCGCCTCGCAGTATATAGGAATTAAATAGAACCGAAATCACGACGGAGGAACCTTCAAAATTTGTAAAATAAAAATGTTTTATACCTCGTCTCATCTGTAGAATCGTTAATTTCTCATAGAAAAAGGGCTCAATAGGACGCTAATTTTTTTCAGCGATGAATAACAGCTCGGAATATATGTTTGATACAGAGATCAGTAATATTAATACACTTTGTAGAAGTACAGTATACACCGTAAACATGATACATATATGTATAAAAAGCCGGGAAAAACTTAAAATAATGCAAGGGTAACAACTAATCAGCACATGAAAAAATTAAAAATCCGCATGACAAATACTTGAGGAGGTATACCCGCCAGAGAATATTAAAAATAATTTTGAAACTTTCAATTATTTACACGTCACTGTATTCAACAATGGTAACCCTGAATACCCGAAAAAGTGCTCTGTGATGATTCCGAAGCGCTCCATTTGATTCTACCCATCGTCAGCACTGACCAAAAACAATGTTCGCTTCTGAAAACCAAGCCGTGAAAACGCAGATTGCGAAGGTACAGTACTTTAAGAGACCTCAAGAAATAAAAATCGATAACATCTTGTCGTTTCTATACGAACGGTCAACGTGCCAGAGAAATCGTCCTGACTTCAGAAACGTGAATCGTCAACTCATATTATACACGGAGAGTATAAGGTGAGAGCGGGGAACGAAGGGCGACACCTACCACGAACGATTAAACACGCGAGCGACCACACCCCCCTCTATCGCCCATCACCACACGATGCATTTGTTCGACGGATTCATAGGCGTGCCGGCAGCACACTTGAAATCCATCGCGAAGTCGCGATTGTTGACAACGGCGCCATTGATACGAAACCTGCTCGGCGGATGCGGGTCCGACAACACCAACAGCTTCTCCTGCTCCTTCCGCATCTTGGTGCACCACACGTTGCCGGCCGAGACCCAGAACATCTGGTTCGGGCTCAGGTCCAGGCCCGGCAAACGGGGTTCTCTGTGGCCGGCGCGACTCATGCGCCGGGTGTAGGCGCGATACGCAGCCTTTAGCCCTCCATTGTCGGCAATCGACTCGCCCTGAGTGTTTTGCCCATTCACCTATTTCGAGCGTCGTTCATTTCGTATCCCGCGAGGCGAGAATAAGCGCACGGGTTCCCCACATAATAGCAAAGCGCGTATGATATCGTTTGTTTAATTTCATTCCGGTCGTTATATTAGTGTTTTCATCATCACGATGAGGCAAGCAACCCGTGCACCAGGAACAACAAGCATCGCGCAGCGAAGAAAGCAGCGTCAGGCAGCAGCGGCGGGTGGAAGAGAAAACGGGAAGGAAAAAGATACAGCAACAACGCCGTTGCGGTTAATGGTCACAGAACTCGGCGCACGTTGAAGTGACATCTGCTGGACAAGGTGCTTTTACTTTGTGGCGAGTTTTTACTAGGGTTCCTACAGAGATCGCTTCCAGTTGAGTAGCCAGAGCAACGGCAAGACTTCTCAACAGGGCTGCCAAATTTATTAGAAGAGGTCTATGGCTATGCTGCTTGGGGGTGTTTCAAGAATATAATGTAATAGCCGTGAAAAATAAATCCTCTTCTTGGCTTTGATAACTCGGCTCAGGGAATAACTTTTCTGGGTACAGTAATGTAATACTGTAATACACTTACAGAGGTTATTTATTAACATGAATTAATATAACCCGAGGATAACCAGCAAGCATGCAAACTTAATGGAATATAGTGCTTTTAACATACATTCAAGATTTGAAAATAACACAAGAAAAAAATCTTGGATACAAAAGCTTTTCAAACGCGGTGTATTTTACGGATCGTCCAACTTTTATTTGGCTGTTAAAATATAACTGTCTTCAATTGAATGGTAACTTGTGCTTTTTTCTTATAAATAAATGCATGTCACTAATCGCAAGATAGCTAAAAACCATATTAGCTATTCAAACATAAAATACCTGTACAAAAAGGAATGGGATTAAAAAATAAAATATTTACGTCTCAAATTCAGCCATCACCCTGTATTAGATGAAAAGAAGCACTTTTTGGCCAACAGATGCCACCTCTCCAATGCAGAAAAACGACAATCGGTGCAATGAAAGACGGGTCACAAATTTCTTTTTCCAGAGGTTTTCAATTCTGAAATATATGCTGTACAGTACTGTATATACAAATACTGATTAACCTTTCGTGACTATAACAGAAAATTAGCACGGAAATCAGACAACCCATCAACCACTGCCACCTCGTGAGCTTTTGTAAGAACATGAGCAGTTTCACACCATACTTCGCATTAAATTAACCGACTTTTTCCTCTAGAATACATCTGAATCTGCGTGTATGAGGTCTAGATAGTGAAAAATGAAACGAGACTGGACTCACGTTGAGATCAATTTCCGGCACGGTGTAATTTCCATATTGCCAGATGATACATTGGGCTTTGTCCTTGAACTTTTCAGCAGTGTCTGGCTCCCACCAGTCGACCAAGTTGCCATCAGAATCAAACTGCTTGCCCTGAAAATATTCACGAAGCGTGCATTTGAGGAAAAATGTAAGAAACAAGTTTTTTTTTTAGCCAGAAAAAAAAATTGATGCGAAGTTTCTGGGAAGGAAGTTCGACTGAAAATCGCTAACTTTTTTTCCGCACAGAATTTCTTTTTTCAGAACAAATTTTCAATAAGGGAGCATTTATGTTTTGAAAATAAGTTTATTTTTGGAAGAATGAGGTTGCTTTCACAAGAAGCTTCTTTTTCCTGGAAAAAACAAAAGACAAATTCGAACCAAATGTCGTTTCCATAAAAAACATCCTAACCTTTCCCTAAAAATCCAACTTGATTTTCAACTTTTTTTTTTTTTACAATACAAACTGATCAGGTACTTACCTGATCATCAAACCCGTGGGTAATCTCGTGTCCAATAACAAAACCGATAGCACCATAATTCAAATACTTGGGTCTTTCCGCATTGAAGAATACGCCTTGCAAAATTCCAGCAGGAAACTCTGAAAAAAAAAAAGTTGAAAATTGAATGAAATACACGGACAAAACACAATTCGAAAAACATTCTTGGTGTGAATGAATACTTGAAAAAAAAAAAGATAACGTACGGATGCTATTTTCCAAGGGACTGTAGAAAGCATTGACCACCGCAGCTTTTCCATGACTAATCCAGTCTGTCTTGTTGACAAACTCTCGCAGCCGCTTGAAAGAATAATCCGTGCCAAACACAGTCAGGTCCAGCATGTTCTTATAATAGAACTCTTCTTTCATGTTCAACTGCAACCAGAAAAGTAATTTTTTAATGAAGAAATTTAAAGTCACGCTCTTTCCATCAAGCGCTCAATTGTTTCATTCGAAGAAAAAAAAAAGAAAAACTCACCCCGTCGTACAAATCGACCAGCTTCTTGTCTTCCAACAACTCGCTCGGATATGCAATGTGGGACACGATCCGCGTCGACTTCTCCTTGGCTCGCAACCTTTATTTATTTTTTGTGAGCAACATATATTCATCAAATAAGTAGCAAATCATATATGCTAATCTAATACAGTACGCATTCCCCCAGTCCCTCAAAAGTGAACGAAGGCTCTTAAAGTTAGGACCGCTTTTAAAGTTAGGACCGACCTCACATAAACAACACACGATGTATGAGGAGAATTATTGCGTCAGAAACTAGTAAATTTATATTGTACTTGAAAAAAAAAATTGAGAATTAACCTGGTCTTGGAGTCCATCCAGTCGATCTCGTCCAAAATATCATCGAATTCCTCTCTGATGTCCTGCACCATCTCCAATGCCGCGTGTTTTGCAGACTCGTCAAAATACCGGCGAACGTACATGGAACCGATGGCATTTGAATAACTGCAAACAAAAAATGCATCAAGTCATAATTTAATTAAAATTTGAAATATTCAGAATTTTCCAGAATTTTTAATTTTTAATATCCACAATTTTTATTTCATAATTTAATTAAATATTGAAATATTCAGAATTTTCCATAAACTTTGGAAAAAGAATGTATAGCAAGGACGAAGATGTAATTTGAAAGAGCAGGTTCAGCTGAAATAAAACTGTACAGAGCGCAAAAAAGTTGGTAACTGCTTGACACGAAATTTCCACTCAAATAAAAAAAAAAACAGGAAAATTGCGTTTGTTTACCTTTGGAATCATAGATAAAAATTGTTTCACAGAAAGGCCAATTTAAAAATCTCGTTGATTTTTTTTCTTCAATTTTTCATGAACTGTACACTGTGCAGTATCAAAGATAAAAGTTTGTCTCACAGCCTGTACTTCAAATTGAAGTCTGCATAAGTCTCGAGACATTACGTACAAACCTATACAATATTGCGAATGAATTGCGTATCATGAACTGTACACTGTGCAGTATCAAAGATAAAAGTTTGTCTCACAGCCTGTACTTCAAATTGAAGTCTGCATAAGTCTCGAGACATTACGTACAAACCTATACAATATTGCGAATGAATTGCGTAGTATTCAATATTAATCAGTGAGTTCAATTCGTAAATACATTATATCTTTCGAGAATCGGCCAACGTTGATACGTTCACCGCTTTTGCAAAAATAAGTTCAGCTTTTACGGTGAAAGATTTATTAAAAATTGATTCAAAAAAGTTAAAATAAAATGGACTGACCTGCCCAAGACGACACCCATGCATTCCTTCCATCGGGCTTGTTGCTCTGACCGTCCGGTCAACTTGGCAGAAAATTCCAGCTGAATATCTCTCGCATTCTCAGTCAAATAACCAGCAGATGCCGCTGCAATTCGCCACATTACATAATTGGCGATTACCCTGCAATTATAAAAAAAAAAGGTTCCATAAGAAAATGTTCACCAGCTCCTTTACTGCATGAATTAAAAAATACCGTGATTACCTTCCCAATTTCGCGGCCAATACATCTTTGAAAGTACAGTAGAGCATGAAATCTCGCGATAACGCCAAAATATTCAAAAGAAACATTAAGATCACAATTATTAAACTACTCTTTGAATTTGAAAATTGCTCTCCGAAACACCAAAAAAGGTTTGCGTATTAATATAAAATACATCATTTTTCCCCCATAAGAATGAGGTGTCCGTTGAAGTAAGGTAATGGGAAAAGCATATGGAAAAATTGTTCTCTTCGGAATATATTCCTTCAAATAAATACCTAATAATATTTAAAATAATATTATCAACAGCGGGGAATAATTACGCCGAACTTATTTGAAAATAAAATTTTATTTAAAAATTGGTAAACTGAAACGTGAAGCATCAATGCAGTACTTTAAAACTGCCTCTGGAATATTTTTACTGCAGAAATTGGAATAATGGTACAGTATATTTATTTCTCAATTTAAATTCCACTGAAATTTAGAAATGAAGTCATTCCTTGCCCCCCCCCCCCCAAAATAAAAAGAATGGCTCGGAAACTTGGCCGACCCTGCGCACAAATTTGACTACCTTTTTCCGTATATAATTACAGTAAACAAATAAGTCAATAATATTAAATAAAATATACCGTTTAGGAGTTTCAGCAATGAGCTTTTCAAAGGCGGTGATGTAAGACGGCACGTCGACGATGACGGGCTCGGTCTTGTCAATTTTATGAAAGGGTGCCAGGAGCTTGTTGATGTAATCAATCCACGGGATGGACGGCCAACGTTGTACAAGATCCCCCACAGTCATCTTGTTGTACAAACTCGTCGTGTTCCTACGCTCCTCGTCCGGCAATGAAAACTGCAAAATGACCCGAAAGTACACATAATTTGGTGTCTCATACAACGAACTTCCTTAAATAAAGAAAATATACTCCACATATAACTTATCGAGAAAAAGCCGAAGAAATGTCAAGCGACATCTATACGAAGACAAGAAAATAGAATCGCAGAATGTAGATATAAATCGGAAGGGTACTCTTAACCAAGGATAATAAAAATAAAAAAAACAACGATTGTCAAGAATATAATACGAAAAGCAAGTACTGTAAATAAAAGTTAAACTCACGTTTGACATGTTGATTTCGAAGAGCAGGGCGTCTTTCATGTCCTTTTTGGCAGTTTCAGGATCAGCACCCAGCAGTATCGCCAAATCCGTCTGGTACTTGTGGTACGCTACAATGTCTGGGTCATTGATCCCCTTCATGAAGTACTTCCTGCTCATCCCCAGACTCGGCTGATCAATCTGTAGAGAAGATATGGAATTTTTTTTTAAACTAAGGAAGTTTTTATGAAACCCTGACAACATCCGACCAATTCAGCAAATATTATGAGCATACATTTTGCATTTTCACTTTCATTCGATTAATTAATTTATTGCTTTTTTATTAATTTATTGTCGCATGTATTAATTTCTTGTTTTTAATCGCCTTTAAACAATTATAAAAAGAGTTGTCTTACTGTAAATATTGTACGATGATTTTTTCTACCTCGTTTTTCACTGATCGATCGCCAGGTGTGCAGTTTCAGAAAAAAATCCTAGTACAGTATTATACCTGATGAGTCATTGAATAAGCCATATAAAGTAATCCTATTTCCAAATAAAGCTGAACCTCAAGAACTCAAATCCTTCTCAGTCAAAAATTTACAAATGTTGAATTTTTGTCAAGTCCCTGTCTGAATTCCCTTAGAAACACAACCATCTCTTGAACCTCTCTCCAACTTGGAGCATTTTCTGGAGGTTCTGGGCCTATTATTTTTGGGACCCAAGCAAAAGGGACGCCATAAAATGTAACTTAATGCTTTTTGAAATGAACTGGTAGACTAACTCTTACTTCTAGCAAATTCAGAATCCTGTCAATTCTTTCGAAAAGCTCTTTCGGGTCAGAAGTATCCCCAATTTTAACTACAATCTACATTTTTTTTTTCATCAGAGAAAAATTATAATTTCCCTTACTTGTAAAGTTCTCAAGTCAAAATTTGTTTTCTGGTCACTCGAAATGCTTAAAAAGGATCAAATATACAACTAATACTAACTAGAAAAATGAATATACAAATTGGGGTTTTCGAGATATTCACGAAGTTGAGCATTTCTCACATCGATGATGCGCCAGGTGGAGTTCTTCAAATCGTTGACGATTGAAAAGTCGAAAAAGTAGTCGACGCTGAAACCCATCGTGCGGAATTTGTACACAATTTCAGTCCATGAGAACTGGTCTTCTTTCCAGGCATCGCCTGCAACTGCTGGCCAACCGCCGAGTTCCTTTAGGACGTCCGTTAACGGACTGAGACCCAATTCCGTCACTCGAGCTGTGTGGGAAAAATATAATTAATATAAACAGTACATTTAAAAATGAAAAACTCGGGAGATTAGTGCGAGGGATTCATTTTGTCAATCAGCCATCATCATTAAAAAAAATGGAATCAATGCGTGGACATCGCAATTAGAAATGAATAGGTTTCAAGAAGAACAGAAAATAATCCCTGATAACCCTAAATCCACATGAACAGGCTTCCCGTCAAGATGAATTGACTATAAGTGGTCCAAGTAAAAGTACGGAAACCCCAGCTGAGGGTCATTTTTTCCATCAATTAACTAATGAACTGCATGTTTTTCCCACGCCTCTCAGGTTTATTTAGTCGAGAGAATCACTTATTCTTAGCTTCAAAAACAAATTATTCAGGAAAAAAAGAAGATTGAATTGTGATACTATTTGTTTTAGAGACATCTTGTGTAAAAACATGAAGAAAAAAATCTCTGCTGCGAAGCACATCCACCAGGTGAAGCTTGCGTTCATGTTAGAAAATTATCTGATTGATTGAGGGTCACAATGGATTTCTTTTCTGCGCTTTGTTGTTTTTTTTCTGTCTTCACAAAAATAAATAATTTAGAAAAATACCTTTAAAATAAAGTACCAGGAAAATAAATATTCTTGGCTGCAAATAACCGGCATATACTATAATACTTAGCACAATACTTATGCTATAATTTGTGTTCGGCCTTGCCTTACATGAAGTAGTACAGTTAAAATGCTAGAAAAAAATGAGTTAACTTGAAGCAAGTAAAGTAAGAAATAAATCTTACTTTTGTTGAGACAGCTCTGGTAGAGCCTCTTGAGGTTGGAGAAAGGCGCAATTTCCTTTTCAGCATCTGGCTTCTCCTGCACCAAAAGCCGCAGTTTCTCCTTGAGCTCGTCGGAAATTTTCGAGAACTGGCTCACTGAAGTCTTGTCATCCGGAATGACTGTGTTCTTGAGGAAAGTTCCACAAGTGAACTGGTAGAAGTCCTCGCAAGGATTCGCAGTCCTGTCCATGTTGTCCAAGATATCAGAGGCTGATCAAAATACAACACAAATGAGAATCACAAAGAAAATAAAAAGGCAACTTCACTCTATTCCGCCTCGGTTAATGGACTTTATTCCCTCCAGTGGGAAGCCCATCGTCAAAAAAAAAAGAATACTGTATTACTAAGCTTTGGCTAATTATTTTCAGCAATATTACAGTTCAAACGAATTTTCTTGGATACCAAAAGGCACCTACATTTTAAAAATTGTACCTCAAGAATATCACGAGAATATTTTAATAATTGAAAAAATCGCATTGCTTTTCAGTCCTCGGGATTTCCTCGAAAAGAGCCGCGATTACACTAGTATTTAAGAAAAACAAACGAAAACGTGTAAAAAAAAATTGTTGAAAATTTAAAATGGAGGAAAATTGTCGACAGCGAAATTGTATTAAACAGTTAATTTTAGTGCGGCTTCTCGACATACGATAATATTTCAAAATTTTCATTCAGGACGATGCAAAAAAAAAAAAAACCCGAAATGACCAGATTTTCACAATGTATTTCGGAATTAAACACGCTATCTCACAATAAGTATTTTTTATGTTGAAACTAAAATACTCTTCCTTCTTTTTGAATGACGACGAATAGTGGGGAAAAAACCAAACATGAAAAATAAATCTCACCTGCTTGAACGCAAGATTTGGAGAAGCAAATCTTATCGTCTTTCTTCTGCTCAATGAAGTCTCCATCAGCCTTTCCTTTATCCACTGCAGCATCTAAAAAATAAAATGTAAAAAAAAACGGGATATTCGTTTAACATTCATTCGAAATTTATTTTTTGCGTAGGTTCATTCATCACTTTTGTGTGATTAAATACAATCTGTGGTCATAAAAACGAGAGGATTTGTAACTAAGAGTAAATCATGCAAGGAAAAGTTCATAAATTATGTCACTCTCGGATTCTTTTGTAATTAAGTACTTGATAATTCTACAAACAACCTTTGAATTTCCGCTCAGTAAATTTGCAACGAAAATACGAAATCAAAATTAATCCATCGCAGTGAACAATTAATCTTATACAGTAGAACACACTTAACATGCTTCATGGATTTACAGGCAGTTTAATTGCTACAAAATTAGCTATTAAGCAAGAGAAAGCCTCAAAAGAAATTTTCGGGATTTCGGACCCTTCTCAGTAACGGAAGTTTTTTTTTTTTTAATCTTGAAGACTTTCGTTTCATACAAAAAAATGCAGTCCTTGAAATTCAATACAAAAATAGGGTTCTATCCCATTAAACGAAATTTCCAAAAAATGACCAGAACGCTTTAAAATAATTCCTCTCATCGCGAATCGTCATCTTTTCGGCATTTATCCTATTAAATAATTTTTCAGGGAAAAATATTACATATTGCGGACCGTAAACCACATATCGAAGACATTCAATTAAAAACTCGTAATAATAAAATTAATAATCAAAATTTTGGCACTCAAATGTTCAACGAACAAGGAAAATAGCCGACAACAATACCAGACTGTGAGACACCAAGTTCGAGATGGCGCTGCAGCTCAATATCTTTGTCAAACGCGAATCGTCGCTCAAAAGTGACCCCTTTTTTGCCCTTATTTTTAGATTTAACAAATCTTCTGCGTCCATTCGAGAATTTCCGTTTGCTGGGTTCATCTAGTATAGCATGCATGGCGGAGACGTCCAATCGACGACGGCCGTCGACGACGACTGACCGTTTCGCGACGGCTTTCGTCCCACCATAATTGTTGTAGTGAAAATCATCATCGTCACTCGATGGGTCGACAGTCGTCGTGCCGGCGACAATGACGACAAAGAGTGATAAAAACGGTTGGTGGGAGGGAGCTGAAGAACCTCAGAAGCTGTCGTATCATGAAACCCTGACGTAAGTCGGGGGTTTTTTTAATAAAAAAAAATCGTCGTAAGTTGAAACCGACGTAACATGGGCCCGTCGTAAGTCGGGGGCCCACTGTACTTGATAATTCTACGAACAACCTTTGAATTTCCGCTCAGTAAATTTGCAACGAAAATACGAAATAAAAATTAATCCATCGCAGTGAACAATTAATCTTATACAGTGTAACACACTTACCATGCTTCGTGGATTTGCAGGCAGTTTAATTGCTACAAAATCAGCTATTAAGCAAGAGAAATCTTCAAAAGAAATTTTCGGGACTTCGGACCCTTCTCAGTAACGGACTTTTTTTAAATCTTAGAATTTCGTTTTATACAAAAAATGCAGTCCTTGAAATTCAATATAAAAAATAGAGTTCTATCCCATTAAACGAAATTTCTAAACATCACCAGAACGCGTAAAAATAATTCCTCTCATCGCGAATCGTCATCTTTTCGGCATTTATCCTTTTAATATTATCTTCTAGGAAAAAAACATTACATATTGCGGACCGTAAAGCACACATCGAAGACTAACCATCTGCTAATAATAAAATCAATAATCAAAATTTTGGCACTCAAATGTTCAACGAACAAGGAAAATAGCCGACAACAATACCAGACTGTGGGACACCAAGTTCCAGATGGCGCTGCAGCTCAATATCTTTGTCAAACGCGAATCGTCGCTCAAAAGTGACCCCTTTTTTGCCCTTATTTTTAGATTTAACAAATCTTCTGCGTCCATTCGAGAATTTCCATTTGCTGGGTTCATCCAGTATAGCACGCATGGCGGAGACGTCCAATCGACGAACCGGCAGCTGCTGCTGACTGGCAAAGCGCTGCCGAAAGCAGGGTGGTATTAACAACATCACTTTTAGTAGTAGCAGTGAGCTACCCAGCTGTCAGCAGCACGGCCGCTGTTACTGCTGTTTCTCACTCAGAAGAACCACGACGGGGAACGCGAAAACTCGCATTTTCGGGCGAAGAAAGAAAAACTTTTCTTATTTGCCTTCATCCGTTTTCAAAGTGTATCGAATAACCTCATACTAAAGATCTTGAGGAATACCTAAAGACTTATGTTGTTGACTCATGACGATTGATCACGTATTTCGATAGGATCTGATTAACGTGAAGATTAATTAGTGATCATTTTATCCGCCTGTTTATTTATTTTCGCGAGGGAAAATCGTTTAGCACAGTTCCAATGAAGGTTTCAGATTAGGGATCGAGTGGATTTGATCAAAGCTTCTTTAATGAATTTCACCGAAAATAAAACAGGTGATCATATTCCCGTTCAAGAAATAACGCCATCCCACTTTTTATCAGGCAAAAAATACTAACTCATGGAAATTCAGTTATTTCCGAAAAAAAAGGACCTCCCTTCAATGGCAATAATTACTTTATTTTCGTGACGAGAAAGTGATAAATGCTCTAATTAATCCGAAGCATCCTTAAAATTTGAAAAGATTCGCATTGAGAGTTAACATGAGTAGACTTGTGCATTACGATCTCAAACTCTATTTAACACCATTTTTTTCTGAAAGGAACCTTCACAGGCTAATTTTTCAGGTAGTCGCAAAAAATTCTTCACGGAGTTTACAGATATTTAAAGGTTCAAATCAGGTGTTCATCACATAAATTATCAATGAATCAGAATAAATCTTTTCTCAGAATAAGGTAACTTTTCTTAAAAGTCGTGATGTCGCGGTTGCAATTTTTATAATCATTGATTTCAAAATGACCGAAATAACCATTTAAAAGCCCACGAAATCAACATTTTTGCTGGGACAAAGCTTCTCAGCTTTTCAGAATCCACATATTTTTGGGAAACTTCAAAGTTCAAATACAATTTTTTAATTTACACAGAAAAAAAATTTCTGAGGCGCAGTTTGTTCAATTAAAAAAAAAACCCACAGCAAAAATGGTGACAAATTTTAAACACTTGAATTTAAATTTCATTCAAGTCTATATCATAGTATTGAAACATGACTCAAAAATCTGTTCACGATTTTTCAGGCACTAAAGAATTAAAAAAAGATGAATCAGGCGGAAATACAAATCCGAAGCAAAATGTAAATCAATGCATCTATACATAGAATCGATTAAAAACCAACTTCGCGAAAAATTCGGGAATTTAAGCTAGATTAATTAAATGAATTTTCAACCATTTCCCGAAACACTTTATTTCCTTGCCATTTGATCCCAGATTAATGAAATCCACTTCGACGCCGTTTCATGGAAAAATCAAAAGGAAGCTGCTGTTGAAATTTTCATCGTTCTTTTTTCAATTGCAATGCAATCCTTACCGATAATTTTTGTAGTTGCACCAGACGAGTCGTCTTTCGGAATCGCAGTTGACGTCACGAAACTACCCGCAAACAAGGAAATGAACGCCGACAAAGTAAAGAGATAATTGAACCGCGACATGATTTTCTGTCGGTACACTCACTGGAAAAAGGGGGTTTTCAATTTAATAAAGCAAAAATGAAATAATTGAACGTCACACTTTCAAATTCCGTATGATGAAAGGGGGAAAAATGTTTGTGCCTCAGCAGAGGATAAAAAAAAATCTAGGACGACGACGAGGAAAATGAAAATTCTACTGACCGCGAGCGATAAAGAAAAGTCAGGACTCGAATCGAAAAAACATGGTCGGACGAATGGAGGTCATCACTTTCGTGCCCCAGTTGTTTTTGAATATGGCCAGACTCAAACTTCCAAGGAAAAATGCATACGGAAATAAAAATGAAATAATCCGTCGAAAATTCAAGTGCCGAAAAAGGAATAGCAGGCCTCGCCTTCCTACGAACCTGACTTATTATTGATGCGACTTTCGGAGTTCGACGAAAGCCAGCAGTCGGAAATTATTTTTTTCAAAAACACGAAGAGATTTGTTTCTTAGAAAGTTCTTTCTTTCTGGAAGCTTCGGTCAAAATTCTGCTGCCACCTCACAAAAAAAATATACCAGTTTTCGAAGAGAATCCAATCGAAATTTATTTCGCTGATATTTTCCATTAGGAAATAAATCCAACATCATAATGGAAAGTGAGCATTGAACAACTTTCACTGAGGAAATTTATCAGAAATTAAATTTAACTTTGAATTTTTAAAAATGAGTCTTCTATTCATTCACGCAATTTTCAACAGAAAAAGTTCCGCGTCAAAATCTTCGAATATTCTTTCAACGTCGGTATGAAAAAAAATGTGGAAAAAGGTTACAAAGCGTTTGAGCAATGGTTTCGGAAATGATAATTTTTAGTTTTTAAATTCGCTTTGAACAAACGTAAAGCCTTTCTGAATGCGAATACTGTATTTTCTTGATTGCTCAAATAACACGAAAATTAAGCAGACAGCAAAATTATTGTTTCGCAAATGCTCGGAATCATGATATGACAGAAAAAGCAGTGTAAAACTGAATGAATATGAATCGAGAAAATTTTCAGGGAACTATAAGTTAAATTTGCGTTAAAATATGAATTTCGCAACCTCCTCGACTCAACTGCTCTGAAAGCGAATGAAAAAATCCTTTAAATACTTGCCATGAGAGGTTTCCCCCACCTGGAAATTCAAACAAATTTATTCTTCTTCAATTCATGCCCAACCACGATTTGAAAATTTGTGAAAATCGAACAAAAAATATTTCCCCATTCCGGCTGCATTCAGAACAACCACGTCAATTCGTCACGGTCCCGGAATTTTCCAGGCCAAATAATACAATGCATGGGATGGAAAAGGGGTAAAAATTTGATACAAAGAAAAATGTATAGAACGAGAAAATTACATTGTCGGAGAGCAGACAACAAAAGCAGTTTCAAACACCAAACTGTAATTTGCATGTCACGACGAGCATTTTTTTATTATCAGCAATGCATCATAACCCTTTTCGAGTACTGATAAAGGCGGGACGAAAAAGGCCAGTGAGACGGCGTTAGAGGGAAACAGACAGACCCGTGCTTACGTGTGCATTGTTAGAGTAAGCCCTTCATTTAGCAGGTGATTAGGTGCACGAAGGCCAAATGCATTATATATTCTGTACTTCGATAAGTGAACGAACAAAAGAGAGCAAGAGAAAAATCTGACGTTTACATCAAACTGTTGTGCTTCGAATGACTGATCACGAAAGAAAAAATGCGCATTTAGATTTACACATCACAAAAAAATCACATTGGTATCCCAGATAAAGAACTTACATTTACGGTAATACAGGTGTGGGATTCTCTCAACAATTAAATTCAAGGGACCAGAAAAAAATTCGCTTTAGAGAGGATTTCGCTGTTATTGAGAAACTTAATGGAATAGGGACCCGTATATGGAACAACAAAATCTTTTTTTTTCAACCATCGCACATTATGTGATACAAAATCCAGTTTTTATAAGTGTCTGAACATAAGACTACCACCCATTTCATTTATTAGGGCCCATAAAAGAAAACAAAAGGACCCGAAATATATAGGCCTGTTTTGTGTGTACAGTATAAAGTGCAAACAAGATTTACATTTTTTTCAACTCCCATTATTCATCCACCTCAGACTGCATCACTGCCTATTTTTCGCAGGATGCGAATTCTCTTTTCATAAATTGCAAGTCTCCGTGAACAATTTGGACACGTCTTTGCCAAAATTATGAGGAGAAACCTCAAATCTGAAAATAAAAGGCAACTCTCTGCTGTATGCGACATCACATCGCTTATTATGTATGTGTCGCTCATTATTATTATTATGACGTTATTATTAATACGTGCACCTGAGAGAGATGATGCTTTAAGTTCCCTGGCCTTTATTTAAGCAAAGTCTTTATTAAAGCAACGTCTCTTTCTTTAATCAAGTGACCAGAAATAAATTCGTGTCAGAAAGAATTTCGTTGTACAGAAAGAAATTCAAGTGACCAGAAATGAATTCGTTTCATTAAGAATTTCGTTGTAGAGAACCGCTGAACAGTGTTTAATGGGTAGAAAACCTCTACGTGACCCACACACTGTTTTACGCACATAGAAAATGGTCATGGACAAAATGTTTGTAAAGTGCTTTTTTTTCTCTCTCTCTCTCTCTCTCACTACAACAATCTTGTCTACAACGATTTTCTCTGTATAAAGAATTTATTTATTTTAATCCCAAAGGGCTTTCTCCCCATGTTACACGGGGTAACGTTTCTCTATAATCAAATTCTCTCCACAACGATTCTTACACGATTTATGCTCCCTTACACATCGTTGTAGAGAGATAGATAGATAGTCCACCTGTATTGCAATTCTCTCGCGGCAACAGGAACACTTGCACAGAAGTTTCTGTATTTTCATTATCATAAATTTATCAATATTTTTTTTCGTTCCGACCGGACGGAAGGACGCAGTATTGCCAACTAACAGCAGGTCGGGGAAACCACGGGACACATGCCTTTATATACCAGCACACTCTGTGCCCGCGGCACTTGTGCGTGTGTGTGTGTGTGTGTAGCCAGTGTCGAGGACCTCAGGTGAAAAACAAAAAATCACGGGGGACCCAGAAAATGAGGGGGAAAAAAGGGAATGACTTGAAAGACGACAAGCAACGAAAGAAGAAACAAACGGTTCAAGAGAAGGAAGTACAGTACCGTAATCCAGGCATAATGAGATTCCCCCCCCCTCTTATTCTGAGCCCATCCCAGTGGAGAAAAAACAAGGGTTCTTCAGAAAGTTTCTCAAAAAAGTGTGCAAGAAAATGAAAAGGGATTTCAAGTACTGTAATGTAAATTACCGGAGATGATATACCAAAAAAAAAAAAAGCTAGCAATCCGACGCAGGGTGATCGATAACTTCCAAGTCTTACAATAAAACAATTATTGGCTCTGATCTATGTCTCCCTAAAAGAGGCAAATTGGTTAAGAAAAACACGGTTTATCCTTACTAAGAGAAGAACAACATCCTGCATCCACAAGAGGTATGTTCCTTAAAAAAACTGGGGGAGCAACTTACAGTGAGTAGAAAGGAACCAACCACATTAGGATAAGTCCGTACAGACATCTCTTTCTACGAAACATTATTTTTAGAAATTCCTCAAAAATAAAGTAAAAAACAATCTCGAAAACCAGAAAAAACCTCGTCATATTCAGCTGACTAGGATACGATTACGTATGCAGAACAAAAGATGACATTAAATTAAATAAATCAGCCAAAAAGCAAACAAAAACAAAAATCGCAGGAATGAAAACTTTCAAGTTCACCCTAGCCAAAGTAGGTGTTTGAAAAAGAGTTCTTAACTTTGGTTGCAGTGCGCAAGCCTTATGTCTGTTTTCTGAGTGCTAAAGGGGGTACAAAAAGAAAAAAGAAAAGAAAAGAGTCTTCTGGTTTTCCGTGGACCCTTCGAGTTCCACACGTTCAAGTTCGATTTTTTGCGTGGGAGCTGCTTTGACCGCGCCGCAAAATAAAAACTCTTTGTCTCCCCCCTTGCATTCTGGGAAATGTGCAGATCTGGTCATCTTGTCCCCAGTCTATCTTGATGGCGTCCCTTCCAATAAAAACGTATGCTGGGGACACACCTTTCACTGACGTCAATATTTTCATCCCTCACAAAATGATTGAAGAATTATACAAGTACATTTTTAAAGACCCAATGTTTTGGAGTTGCTTGGAGTTGCTCAAAAATAATTGTGAGCAACTTACTTTTGAGCAATTTGAGAAATGTGTATTCCAAGATTTAATATCTTGCTCAAAATTGTTGTGTATATACTATAGCAGTCTAAAATTAAGATTTTTGTGCTTCATACTGCTGGTCTTGCCATACTTGCCTTTGGCAGTTTTCAAACGAGGTTTTTCTGATATAAAAATGCCTTTTTTGGGATTTTCGTACTTACGGGATTTTTGGTCCCTGCGAGATTTTTGGGCCTATCGGATTTTTGGCCACACAGGATTTTCGGGCCGCGGGATTTTTTCTCCCACGGGATTTATCCTGCACCCGTTCAGGGTATAGTCGTTTCATTTTTGCTAAATAAATTTCATTGGAGTGAATGTCACCGTATCTTATTGGGCACCCCTGCGAGTAGACCAATTTCCCGATGTCCCCGTGAGCAACTATTCCTGCCTCACCCTTCTTTCAATCAATTCCGATTTTTCATTGACAGTGATTCATGTTTATCGCCGTCCGGGTTTCTTGGGGTACAAAGACGTGTGGAACTCAAAGTGATAATCGACCAAAAGGAAGCATTTGAATCGAACCCCCAAACCCAAAAGTGAGCGATAAGATTTCCACAAAAAAAAATCCGTGAGCAACTATTCCTGCCTCTCCCTTCTTTCAATCAATTCCGATTTTTCATTGACAGTGATTCATGTTTATCGCCGTCCGGGTTTCTTGGGGTACAAAGACGTGTGGAACTCAAAGTGATAATCACCCTTTTCAACCGGTTGTCCCCACTGTTGGTGGGTCTGTTTCTTCCAATTCTACAAAATGAAATGA